TGCAAAAGCTGAAGAACCATCAACGGAGACTGAAAGTTAAGTATCATCCAGAGAATATTCTTTTCCTTAGATTTCTAATTTGTCTTAAATCCTACATCATAAGTAGCCTAATTTGTGTAGGAAGACTGTCTAAAGAGTCATAAGTGAAAGATTGTTTATCTGTTACCCCCTTGTTTGCTAAAGCATTAGCCACCATGTTGCCCTCACGATAACTATACTAAATTTGAAATGTGAAATTTTGAAGGGCAGAAAAAATATGTTCTAAAAGAATCTAGCACTTCCAAGACACCTTAATCCTCTTATTGACCATATCAACTAACATTTTTGAGTCTGTCTCAATGATCAACTCATAGATTTGAAGACCATATTCTTGCAATAGTTGCAGACCACTCAACAGAGCCTGCATCTCTGCCTCCATATTTGCGTAACTACAATAATAAAAAGAACCTGCCAGTATCAATTAACCCATAGAATTCCGAAGAATAGCCCCTCCTCCTGACTCCCCAGGATTCCCTTTTGAAGCACCATCCACATTAAGCTTAATCAAACCATTAGCTGGGAATTTCCAAGCTATCCACCAAATGTGTATCCTCACTGCACCAGAGTAAGAGACCTGTAGTGATTGTAGTAACTCTATCTCTTAAAATCCTTCCACATTTCCATGGAATCACAGCTTTCCCATGAACCATCATCACCAGAATCTAAGAATCAGATTCAATCAGTAAAGGGTAATCCCCTAGCCCATACTGCAACACCAAATTCATGCCATCAAACAAAGCCTTACACTCAGCCTGCATTTTAGAGCCTTCCCCATAAAAAATCGAAGTAGCAGCTACCATACGACCTTCAGCATTCATCAACACCTTTTTAAGTAAACGGCTTCGTCAGAATCAAAAACTTTTATTATGAATTTCGTTTGGGTATATTAACAAACAGGTAACAGACATGAAAGATGTTACATATCTGTCCAAAGAATTAGGGAAGATCGAGTGCATAAACAAGAACTAAGCTAATACATCTAAGCATCAAATCTAACTATGTAGCCTAGACCATTCAACTCAATCTAAGGGCATACCGCATACCCCAATATCCCACTAAAAAGCAAGCAATCATAAGGTTCAAGTGAAGTAAAGATCACCCAAAGAAATCGAGTTGAATCTGAAACAGAGTTGTCACAAATAAGAATAATCACAAGAACAAACTCACACTCATCAGACTTGAATTTGAATCCTCTGATACACAAGGCTAGCGCGAGGCAGAGATAGAATGGAGAGAGAAGGGAGTCGTCGAGATATCCCCGGTGATCGCCTACCTCTCCGGCATCTTCCTTGTAGTCGGTCACCAAAANCTCATCATACTTGAATTTGAATCCTCTGATACACAAGGCTAGCGCGAGGCAGAGATAGAATGGAGAGAGAAGGGAGTCGTCGAGATATCCCCGGTGATCGCCTACCTCTCCGGCATCTTCCTTGTAGTCGGTCACCAAAATAGAAGAAGGGCTGTTGATAGACCCATGGGAGGAGATGAGTTATCAGGTGATAGAGTCAATGGGTTGGGAGAAAAAAAAAATGAGGTAGAAGTGGTTGGGCTGAAGTGATTTTAAATAAGTAAAAGTTATATTTTTTAACTTTTATTTTTGGACTTATTTAAGTGGTAAAATAGTTTTTACTTTTTTAAAAGTACTTTTCATAAGTTAATCCAAACACTGTTTTTTTTTTATGAAAGCACTTATGATAAGTCAAAAATTTTAAAAAATATTTTTCTTAAGTCAATTTAAACACACTCTAAGTCAATAGTATTACTTGATANATGAAAAGCACTTATGATAAGTCAAAAATTTTAAAAAATATTTTTTTTAAGTCAATTTAAACACACTCTAAGTCAATAGTATTACTTGATATTATCGTCTACTAATAAGTGAATTTCACAAAAATTTATAATCACCCACCTATTTAATATATAACCACTTTCATGTTAAAAATTGAATTATATTTTACCTATTTTTTTATTGAATAATTATATTATGTAATAACATTAATGTAAAATAATTGTTACACCCAATATTTAATCGATTAACACGCATGTCGGCCGATGCACCTTCCTCCCTGGCACAAGATATTGAAGAAGGGTGCAAGGAGTGAAACCATGTAGGTAGAGTCACCCTGCCACCTATTTTCATATAATCCACTGGCATCATTTTTTCAGTTTATGAGATAGTTGGTGAACATTGTCGCCTTAGTCACCCACCCGCCCAGCCACGTAGACTAGAACACAGAGCTATTGGGGTCTTCGTAGGTTGGGTTATCCACATATTTCGTTATCTAACTTGAAAAAATAAGTCCGAAACTTAATAGGTTCGATAATTAGTCCACCTAAGTTCAAGNATGAAGGGTAAGGGGCCTGTGTGGGAGGAGATTGTGAGAGAGAAGGGTTTGTTGCCTACTAAATTGGAAGATGTTGGAGTTTGGTGGTTTGTTGATATTATACTTGGTGGTGGGGGCGTGTTGGATACTATGAACAAGAGCAAGGAGCATGGATTTTTGGGGTTTAGGAACACGAAAAACGCATTCATTTCTTGGATTGATAAGGTGAAAGCTTACAAGATTGTTCCATAGTTTGATATCTTTCTGGGTGGCCTTGGTCTGTGTTAATATCTTGAATAGTTTGTTCTCTTGTCTATGTTGTGTTGTTAAAAGAAAGGGAATAATTATAGAAGGAAGCTTTTGCTTTCTGAATCACTGTATTTTTCGGCTTTTGCTGTTTCCTGTAATGATCGAATTAGNATGTTGTGTTGTTAAAAGAAAGGGAATAATTATAGAAGGAAGCTTTGGCTTTCTGAATCACTGTATTTTTCGGCTTTTGCTGTTTCCTGTAATGATCGAATTAGATTATAAGCATTACCATTGGTAGTTGTCTTGTTTGTTCCTCTGTTGATTTTGTGGCCTGTTGAGGTCCAAATTTACTTCATTTCCTAATTGTGATGTGAAGTATATATCATTGCCCCTTAATTGATCTCATATGCAAATAGATTTCAAGATTTGAACCAGAAAATCAAAGCGGGGAAGCATAGATCTAAATGAACAAGGCAACATAGTGTTGTACAATATATGGGCAATAGAACCAAGGGTATTAGCTAAGCTATGAATTGTAAAGAGAGTTGAAGGCCATAAATGAATCTATCACCTCATCACATTGAGAGTATCTGTATATCATGGGAAAGGTTGTCAGCATAATAAATTTGAGTAGTCTGAACTAGTAAATAGTCCAGAATGGGAGGAGATGGACTCAGTGCTTAGAAGCTGTTTTCAAGAAAGATTGAGAGCCATAATCCACATAATTAAACATTCTTCCTAAAATGTGCACATCTTTTGTCATGTAATTGCTTTGAGATTCGAGCATTTGGTATTTGAATATATGGTCTGTGTGAATCCTATAAGGATGCATTTAAAGTCCACCTCATTCAAAATTCCCTAGGCCTTACTATTCACTGAAGGTCAAGTGTCTTAACTCCCAGTGTCAATAGATGTAATGAAATCTGAAGAATGAGACCCTCTGGACCAGTTTTTCGAGAATTTATAGTTTCAATGTAGTTGCAAGTAATGTAGCAAACACCTCCTATTTTGAGCAGGCAGAAACAGCTGGTACCCAGGAGAGTAGAAGGCCTTGTTCTTTTGGTACTCCGGCTAGGAGCTAGCATACTTTGTTAAAGCAGATGAGGTGTTAGGAAAAGCCTAGACACCTTATAGAAGTCCTGCATATGAGATGCCTCTAAGCTGATTATCG